AATTTTCCGTTTTGTGAACAGATATAATTAAAAAGTTTCTGCTCTTCATGAACGTTCTTTTATCGTGCAACGTGCACAGACAAGAAGTTCTTTTCCGCAACGTTTAATAGCGTAGAAAATTCCTCGGATATCACCAAACGCTGGATTTTGCCCATTTTCGCCTCTATTTTCTCCCAGTATTCTGGCATGAACGGAAGTAAATGCTAGTAAACAATAGTTTGCGCCTCAAGTCAACCCAATGAACTAAATAAACAAACTCAAGTGTGCGTTAAATCCTCCAATCTCCAACCTTTCATCAGATATGTCATCTACTGTATAAATCAGTGAGTAGCCAATCTAAACAAGATAGGTCAAGAATCCGCAGGCAAGCGCTGTGCTTTTACACTTTTATTAACTAGCTACATAAATTAACAGATTTGCAAACAACAGTATGGAAGTTGGGGGTCCGGGTCCATTCAAATCTTGACACGGTATTCTATTTTCTTCTTTTCGCCTACCTTTCTAGTCCCTGAGAACAATCTCAAGCAGAAAATAAGACGGTGAATGATGACAATCAGTGATCATTGATGTCTTCTAGACGGGACCGACAAATGATTGGTGTGCCATAAGAAAAGGAGCCTTCCATAAATATATGAAGAAAGACGGTGAAATGCATCCCCAAAATACACTCAAACGTATTCTTCACAGTACCACCGAAGTTTATCGATGGCCGTAGGGCCTTCAAAACCATGTGAAATGGAAGTTTGCCGAAAAGGCATTCAGGTGGCGTAGAATACTCCATATCACAGTCGATAGAATCCTTTCCTAAGGCTTAAGGACGAAGTGCTTGACTTAGTACTCAGTAACCCTTAGAAATCCGTGTGGAATTTCAGGTCATCCCCAACTGGGGTTAGGGCACTTCAGTTTCCTCTGGCGTCTCTAGCAAAATCATCAAAATGTTCGCCTTTTAAGGGAGCACTCTGTAAACGCGCATCGTGTCCCAAGCTTTATCAACGCAACTAGATGGCCTGCATGTACTTTGTCCCACCAGGATTCACCCAGGAGATATTCATCTCTTAAAAAGAACATACGTTCTGCAAAAAAGTACCTAGTTTCGTAATTATTTTGATTCCGAGAAAATAAGAATAGAATACCTATCTTTTATTAAATGTCTTGGTGAAACGTTTTCTTTCTCAAAAGCATTTTCAGAAATGAATAGAAAATGTGAATGTGAAGCCACTTTGATGAAAAAATGACTTCATTTAAACGTTTCAAA